AATGTATTCTTTTTAAAAATAATTTATTTATTTTTAATGGAAAGTCAGATATACAGAGAGGAGGAGAGACAGAGAGGAAGGTCTTCCATTCAATGACTCATTCCTCAAGCGGCTGCAACAACTATAGCTGAGCCAATCTGAAGGCAGGAGCCTGTTCTGGGTCTCCCATGTGGGTGCAGGGACCCAAGGCTTTGAGCCATCCTTGACTGCTCTCCCAGGCCACAAGCAGGGAGCTGGATGGGAAGTAGGACTGCCAGGATTAGAACCGGCGCTCATATGATATCCTGCTGCATGTGAGGCGAGAACTTTAGCTGCTAGGCTACTGTGCTGGGCCCTCCCTGTTTCTATGTGATAATAAATCTTACATATATGAGGAAACTTTAAAAAGTTTGTGGGAAAAAAAGGTTTGTGGAAAATGGAACTTAAAGGTCAGTTTTTAAAGGTAGGCATTAAGACATGCCTATCTTACCCAGTGCCTGGATTCAATTTCTGCATGCATGTCTTGGCTTGAGAATCCTGACGGTGCAAAGTCTGGGCAGCAGTGGGCGTGGCAGAACTGCATGTAGTTTTCTGCTATTGGCTCTGGTCCCTGGCCAACCCCAGCTGCAGTATTTGTTGACAATTTAAGTGGAAATTGCTTCTCTCTCTCTCTCTACTTTTCAAATAAGTTAGTTAAAACTATTTGAAAAATGTTTATTTAGGTGTAAAAATTTTTGAAATCATTATTTTTCACATGCATCTTCCATGCACTTTTTGAAGATCCTATGTATGTCTGGATTTCAAACATTTATTGCCCTAAAATAAAATTTTCATGGACTCAATCTTCCAGGTTTTTTCTTTTATTCCACTGTGTTTTATTTCTATGACTGTATAGTCTGTGTTAATAATTGCTAGGACAGCTCCTCCTTATTTCCCTCTTCCTTACAACTAATAAAGTTATCTAAACAGAGACCTTTGTTCTTCCAAGCAGCCTTAGACTGTTACACTGCTGGGGGGAGGGGAGATGCAGCTATAGATTTTGATTGGGATTGGAATTGTATGGAATGCATAGCTTACCTTGAGGGGAGAGTAGATGTCTGTGTAATAATGAGTTATACTATGCAAGAGAACAATACACTGCTTACTACAATACATATGAGTTTCAACAGAGTTGATTTTTCACAGATAATTTCTGTATCGTTTCAGTTGAACTCTTTTTTTTTTTAACATTTATTTATTTCTGTGAAAGACTTATGGAGACAGAGATCTTCTCCTACCTGTTAGACTGCCTAGATGAGTGCAACAGCAAAGCTGGGCTACGCTGGGGCCAGGAGCTCCAAGTCCCCTCGTGGGTGGCAGGAGCCTAAGCACATCGGCCGTCTTCCATTGCTTTCCGCAGGCCATTAATGGGGAGTTGGGTCATTAGTCACAAGTTAACCAAACCCTATAGTGAATGCTGGTGCTGCTAAACCCACTGCCTCACAGCACTAACCTCTTCTTTTTCATGTATTTTATGGTTTGTCAGGTACTCTGGAACCATATAAGATTGTTAACAATACAGTGCCAGCAATGTGGCATAGTAAGTTAACCTCTGGCTGCAGTGTCAGCCTCTCATAAAGGCACTGGTTCAAGTCCCAGATTCTTCACTTCCAATCCAGTTACCTGGTAATGTGCCTGGGAAAGCAGCAGAGGATGGACCAAGTTCTTGCACCCCTGTATTCATATGAGAAACCTGGAAGTATCTCCTGGCTTCTGGCTTCAGACTGGCCCAGATCCAGCCATTGCCATCACAACCATTTAAGGAATAAACCAGAGGATAGACAATATACCTCTTGCTCTCTCTCATGTTCTTTCTGCCTTTTGAATAAAAATGAGCAAATCTTTTTAAAAAAAATCTTCTAAAAAATAATAGCAGGGCCTGGTGTGGTAGTCTATTGGCTAAAGTCCTCCCCTTGCTTGCACAGGGATCCCATACAGACACTGGTTCTAATTCCAGTAGCTCTGCTTCCCATCCAGCTCCCCCTGCTTGTGGCCTAGGAAAGCAGTTACCTGCTATGTGGGTGGCAAGAACTCAAGTACTCGGGCCATCATGTACATCGTAAATGCTGCAGGTGTAACCTTTTCTATACAGAGGGACTCAACAGCAGGGAGCTGAGGAAGTAATGCCTCCTATTTCCCTCTTGCTAGTGCCTCCCATTGGACAAACCCCAATGGGAAGGAAGTTTGTTGATGCAATCAGTTCAGTTCATTTTCCTGGAGCTCTTGGTAATCATACACTGTCAGCTGTGCAATCTGTTTTTCTCTGTATGACATTCCTGCCCACATGCTGAGTAAACAGATATGACAGTCCAGCTGCTTCTGAGCCTTGTTCTTTTAATCAGTGTGTCACATACAGAATAGCACCTCTACCTGCATTTCCTACCCTGCAGCACATTTAGTGCCTTTGTCTATAAACCGCAGGACTTACCTGTTCTCATTAAACTGTAGGCAATGTTCTCCGCTTTGGCTGAAAGTACATTTTAACCACAGTCTACTCATTTATCTGAATACATGGGTACCTACTGTACCCTTGCCTTTCAGCCTGTATGCCAGCAGACAATGATAGCCAGTGGTGGAGTTAGTAGAATTTAGTGTTAGCGTGCTAGCATGGTGAGGGCCTCCTTTCTTCTAATTAGCAAAACCTAATATTTTTCATGTTGAATTACATTGCTTCAGTGCATTGGGGAAATTGTATGAGAATTACCTGTTCTCCCTGATTACGTCAGCAGTAAGTCCAGTCCCCTTCAGTCTGGCTTTACATCAATGGCTATATTGAGTATTACCTTAAGTGGTGTCTAAATTTATGGTCACAAACTAGGAATATCTGGATGAAGAATGTATAATTTTCTCTTCCCTGGATCATGACAGTCTCTTAGGTTGGATCACAAATTTAAATCCTTGTCCTGCCAGCAAGATTAAAGACAGCAGATTAAAATCCACAGTTCTTCATAGTATTGCAATATAGTCTTTGGTCATTTCTTCCAAATCAAGGAATAATAGAAACTTGGCCCTAAAGCTCCTCCACTAAAAATGGCATTTTTAAAAAGATTTATTTTATTTTTATTTGAAAGGCAGAGATACAGGAGATAGACAGAAACCTTCAACTGATGGTTCATTTCCCAAATGGCCACGATGGTCAGAGCTGAGCCAATATGAAGCCAGGAGCCAGGGACCTCATCCAGGTCTCCCACATGGTGCAGGGACACAAGGACTTAAGTCTTCCCAGGTCAGAAGCAGGGAGCTGGATCAGAAGTGGAGCAGTCAAGATATGAACTGGTGCCCGTATGTGATGGTGCTACAGGCAGAGACAGCCTACTATAACATGATGTCAGCCCCTACAAATAGTACCTTGATTTCCTAGTACCTCCCAAATACATTCCCAACCTGATGATGTTTTATCTTCCCTGTCTAAAGGAACTTTGCAGATATGATTCCGGTCCTGGTGAAATGAGATGATTGTTCTGGATTATCCAACTGAGCCCAGTGCAATCACAGGATCCTTATAAGAGAGATAGAATATGATCACAACCCAGAAGGAAATGTGACAATAGACACCATAGGGTGTGTGTGTGTGTTCGTGAGAAAATTTGAAGATGCTACAGTGACAATTGCAAAGTGGAAGGAAGGGACCAGAACCAGGGATTGCAAATAGCCTTTAGAACTGGAATTCAAAAGAAACAAATTCTCCCCCATTGTGGCTTCAGATGTACTGTGCCTCTGGTAACCTGCTGATTTTAATTTGTAAGACTCACTTCTTACTTGTGAACTCCACAGTAAGGCGTTTGTGTTGTCTTAAGCTGTTAAATTCCAAATTTGTGGTCATTGTGTTACAGCTATAATAGAAGACTGATGTTGATGCCAGCCTGTATCTGAGGTACAGTAGTTCCAGGACTGCAAAAAGATGAACAGGAAGTCTGATCAATGATAAACAGGCCAGATCTTCGTGGGAAAATAAAATCAACAAACATAACCAGTAGAACCTTACCCCAGTTTGACAATTTTAACACAATAGTTACCAAAATCATTGTTTAAACATATCGAATATACAGTTTGAGAATTTGAAGACCCCCACACATCAAGTTAAAAGCACCTTAGTTCAATCCTGGAGAGAGATCTCAGTAGCTGCTGTGGCTTGAAAAGTTGAACACCTTTGCCCCCTGCTGGATAGAAGTGGCCAGATTATTTGTAGTTAAATGAAGGCAACAGGAAACGTTTGACACTTTTCAGTTTTTCTAACAAAAGACATTCACTGGTAAATTTATTTTATTCTTTCAAAGTTTATTTATTTACATTCATTTCTACTTGGAAGGCAGAGGACGAAGACATTTTCCATCTGCTCTTTTACTCCTCAAATGCTCTCAGCAGCCAGGACTAGATGAGGCCAAAGCCAGGAGCGAGGAGCTTTCTCTGGGCATCCCAGATGGTTGGTAGGAATTTAATTATTTGAGCCATCACTTCAGCTTGTCAGTGTGCACATTGTCAGGCAGCTGGAATTGAAAGCAGAGCTGGCTCAAACCTAGGCACTAAGATATGGGTGTCCCAAGCAGCACTCACCCACTGCAACAGCTGCACCAAATGCCTATCCCATGGAAAACAGCAGCTTTTTTTTCTTCAAGAAAGGGATATAGGGATAACTATTGAGAAATAGAGAAAATGGAGGCGGCAGGTGGAAGCCAAGGAAGGTGAGGTGGAGAGGGAGGAGGGAGAGAGATGAGACACAAAATAGTGTGCCTGTCCGCTCCTCCCCCTTTCCCTCCATCACATTGCACTGTAATAGCCTGCTCAGGAAAGAAATACTATTTTATAAAACACATTTACATGAGAAACTTATGTTAGAGATGTTACAAAGTTTAAGAATGCTGATTGTCTTAACTAAAAATTAAGAAATGAAATGGCATTAGAAGTTTTAAAACACTAGCTTGGTAAATGTTAGGAATTTGTTGTTGTTGATAAGAACATAATACACATTATGGGGAAGACTGTTGAGATAGTCCATATTTATTGTTTTATTTGCATGTACGTAGGTTTAACTCCAGCTAGCAACAAACTTGGAAGTCACAGGAAGTATTTTTCTCTCGCCAAACTACATAGAACAAGTGAGAAGTTCCTGATATGAATAAAAAACTTTAGCAAAATAAGCACCAATCTAAGCAAAATTTTCTACAGAACTGTCAAAACAAATATCAAACATTTAAAATGTGTGTGTATATTTAAACTATGCAGTCTTATATCCACAGAATTTTCATTGAACAGCAATTGTTAAACAGATAGTTTTAAGTGGTTTTATAAGCAAATTTTCTACCTACTTCCAGAAAAAAGAATGACATTAAAATCTACTTAACCGATTTTCTCCTTATTTTTTGAGGTTCTAGAGTATCATGTCGATTTTCTGCTTTGTGTGATGGATCCATGTGCTCTGCATTTTCTGGATGAGGCTAGCTCTTCTCTCATCTCTGACATGTTCCCGGCATGCAAAGTCAAAACTGGGGAACAATTAGATGCTCATATGATATAAGGTATGTTTCCCAATATACATACTTGCCAAGAATAATTTTTGAACTGTTCATATTCTCCAATTAAATATTCTCTACTCCATTAGCGAAGAAAAGTTTGATAGTATTTAAATTTTTATCCTTTGTATCTTTCCAGTTCTCATATTTTAAAACCTATTCTATGTAGCTTACAAAAATTTGAATACAGTTAAACTTAATTTTAAATCAGGTTTATTATTTGTGTTACTTGGAAATTCTTCTCCTTAAGGTAAATATGAATTACATAAATAAAGCATACACATCAAATTGGAATGCCCCCAAATTTAGAAAGCATACTAGAAGCTTTTATATACACATCTCACTAGAAAAATATGCTACTAAAACATAATATGGATCTGCAACTGAGTATATAAGAAAAATTAGCAAAGACATAAATATACTCCATTTCCTCTTTACTTCCCTATCCTCTGGTAAAGTGGTTCTTAAAATTACTACTGGGGTGTATCAAATATTTCCAAGAGAAGCTGCTTCAAATCTCCTCAGGTTAAACTGTTTAAATAACAAAATTTTTACTTTATTGTGAAGTAAAAAACATAGACAAAAATTTTCCACTATTCTTTGGATTCAGGAATTTTATTTTCCTTTCTTTCGGAGATTTGAAAGGAGCTTTGGCTCCTCTAAGTTATGGTATGAGGATTCTCCATGTTTCTTCCCTAAAAGTGGAAAGGGAGAGCTGGAAGTAGTAATAATGAAATAAACTTTCTGCATGAAATTTAAAAAATAAAACAAAAAATCCAAAAACCAATGGGCCTTCCTTTTACCATTATGGACCTGTAAGAAATAAGGTGACAATTCAAAAATTCATGTAAAATACAATTTGAAGACCACTTTTATGAGTGGGCTTTTAGAGCAGTGTGAAATTGCCATTTGGGATGCCTGCATTTCCAATCAGTGCCTTGGTCTGAACTCGAGTTCTGTTCGTAATTCTAGCTGAAGGACTTGAGCTGCTGACACAGGTGTGCAAGAACTGAACCGAATTCCCTGCTCCCAGCTTTGGCACACCTCGCTCTGGCCAACTGAGACAGCCGGAGAGAAAACTAGTGAAGTTTGTCACACACACATTCTTGGTGTAAAAAAATTTTAGACCTATGCAGGTTTTTAAATTTTTACATTATACTTTTGCATGACCTTTCTAAAGACCCCACATACTCCTTTCACTCATGGTTTCCTGGTTCACGTCTTGTAAGATAACCTCACCTAAAGAAATGAGTCCATGAAAAAGTACTGTCCTTACACGGTCATCTACGTTGGTACTTACTCATTTTCTTCATTCCCACAAACAAGGATAAATATAGAACTATAGAAAAATACAGATTATAAGATAGGCAAGATATTCAAATAAAGCGTCCAGCTGGGTTTTTTTTCATGGATTTAATTAAATTATTGAAGGAGACATCCTGAATGTAGGGTTCCATTTGAAGAAATAGAAGGAAGGGAGTTAGATGAATAAGGTGAAGGGAAGAAATGCCCCCATTACACTACAAATTCAATTAAATGGCAAATCTTACATAATATGAACTTAATTTTAAAAGGAAAAGCTCTATATTTTTCAACTGGCATCTTTTCACGTCAATATTCAAATATTGAGTGAGTGGAAGAAATTCTGGAAACAAAGTATTCAGAGATGTCTATTTACACTAAAACTCTCGATAATGAGTAGTGTTGGAGAATTCTTTCTCTTTCCCTTGAGTGCTCGACAGTTGTGTGAGGCAGACAGTAATGCAGTGGGAGGTAGCGTACATATGATACATCTGAGGATGCAACTGGCTCGACTACACAGTGATCGTGTCAACTGGAGACTGCTCAATGCTCTGCACCCCCATTTCTCCATGTGCATAAAAAAAAAAACAGGAGGATGACTCTTTAATTCATAGCTGCTGTGTGATTAAATGATATAATGTGTACCTGATCTACTGTAGCCAATTTTATAGGCAAAGAACCACATGCAGTAAGATTAAGTTCAAAGCTCTGATTATTAATTGGCAAGGTTAGATGTAGAATTCTATCTGGACATGGTTTTACTACCCTATGAACATCTACTTTGACATATGTATTCTCTCTTTGTACTATTTCTGCTTTACTTTTCTTTTGAAGCTGAAAGTGATAGTTGGAGACAGATCTGATGCCAAAATAAATATCATTTCCTCTTAAAAATCTCTTAATGGAAATAGAAGCTAATGATCAGCATTTAAAAGAAAGCAGATTTTCTGAGGAATTAGTGTGAACACTGCAAACGAGAGCTAGAAAAAGGACTTTTTAAACTTTTAGGAAAATGAAAAGATAGTTCATTAACTTGGTAGCTGGCAGGAAGAAAGTGAACTCCATGGGGACAGATATTATTCACTATTATCATCTCCATATCTAGAGCAGAGACTGGTAAGAATAATGTTTAATGAATACTTAAGCTAAAAAAGAGTCAACCTTAAGACATGTCCTTAAAATATTTCCTTTTACTCTGACATGTTTTTCTTTCTAGTATTAATATTAACCAAAAAGCCTACATAACTACCCATAAAATGGGATTTTTAATCCAAAGATTCAGAGTAAGAAATAAAAGACTAAATTAAGGCCTTGAATAGCTTTATTGAAATCTGTATAAATAAACATGCACATTTCAAATATAAACTCAAGTGAACTCAAGTGCAGACAAAATTTTAACCTCTGTCATGCAGGAGGTTAGTGTACATCAAAATAAAAAAAGAAAAGGAAAAAGAAAAAATCCAAAGCAGCTTTTAAAATACCAGGATGAAAAACCAGCTTTAATATCAAGGTATAAAGCAAAGCCATGATCAACATATTTCATTTATCCTGGTCAAATGCATTTTTTTTTTACTCTTAAATGCTAACATAAATAAATAATTTACCAAAATGTGCACTCACAGAGTGAACTTTTATTTACAATACACAATTTGTAATCTATTGTATTTGATTAGTTCAAATGAACATTATAATTTTTGCTTTAATAACAGTGGGACACAAAGCAATTTCTCAGGTAGTTGATAGTGAAATGTGCCCCAGCATTTAGATTTTCTATTAAAGGCAGTATTGTATGCCAATTGACAATACATTCTTTAACTAGATCAAAGGGAAAAGCAGCAAATGAAATGTTTCAAATGTTCACACATATTTTTGGCATCCTGGATCCTTGGATGTGGTGAAGTAAAATCAAATTTAAGGTTTGTATGCTTTATATACTGTACAGGTTCTGACTCTGAAACATGCAAATGCCATTTCTCTTATAACAAGTTACCTTCTGAGAAAAGCTGTAAGGCTATGGTGAATTCCATCAGGAACACACAAAAAGTTAACAGACCTACTTTTATAGCCAAATGTCCATTAATGATTTAAAGGCCAGCACATGAAAAATCTCCCATCTAAGCTTGATGTAATTATTTATATGGATACAGAGTACTTATATTGTCTGTCTTTATATTAAAAGAATTGAGTTAAAATTTGCCAAATTACTAAAAGATGGGGTAGAGAAAAACAGATGGCAAAAATTTTAATTTTAGACCAACCGTAGATTAAAGATATGATTTTTAAGCAAATAAAAAATGTTCTAAAGATTAGATCCCAACAGTTGTGAAACATACTTACATGTAATTGAAAAATGACTTTAGATGGAGTGTGAAATCTAGAACCTGTTTCTATACGATGAAAACATTATCCTGCATTTTTAATGATGTCAAAAGAAAATATAATTTAAAAAATGTTTCTTATGTCATGATTTTTTTTAATATGCCCACTCTGATTACCAGGAATAGATCTGAAAATTTGGTTTTCCAAGAATATCACTGCAGTATTTATGCCATATTAACACTGCAGCTAAATATCATAATATATAATATGGCAGCCTAATGCACATGAACTAGATTACCCAAAAACTAAGTTCAGCATAGGTTTCTTGCAGTATCATTAGAGCAAAATAAATGACCAACAACCACAAATTTAACATTTCTCATCAATTAACTCACATCCAAAAAATTAAAGAAAACATAATTCATCAAAACAACCGCAAACTTAAAAGGGATTTATTTGTGATTTCCTATATATATTTAGCTTGTAAATACAACTGTAAATGTATTAAGAGACAATTTCTGTTAAAGTTTTCATTGTGTTTCACTTCAAGTACTGCACAAGTTAAAATCTGATAAAGGATTTACATTCGGTTATCTGAAACTCCCCATCTCAGACATGTTTTAATGTGGTGGATAATTCCATCATTTCACAGATACCACCAGCAGGAAAGTCTCTCTTGTATGGCTTCAAAGACTTTCATCAGTTAGTGTGCATACAGTTTTCATTTTCTATGTCATTGTCATTGTCATTGCTATCTTCATCACTTTCCAATGGGATGCCTGTGGCAGCTGAAGCACCTTTAGTTTCTCGGTCAAGAGGAAAAAAGCCAGTTCCACTGAAAGTATCTTGTCTCTGATAGAATAGTACATACGCTGCTTTGGACTGTCAAAACAAAGAAAAGATGATCAAATGGTCATTTCCTCAGAGATGAAATACAATATACATTTTTAGTTGGTAACAAATTAACAGTTAAATGCAAGTTATAAAAGTTGAGTAAATATGATTTTTATATATAAAAGAAAAGTAGCTGCTGGAATTAAAAATTCTCTTCCAAGTTATGTGAACCAAGAAATATATCTTATATCTTAGACTAATATAGCCACTTAACATGAAGTAGATTTCTGTGCTTGCTTTTATTTTGTCTTTCAGTAAAAAATGAACATCTTTGTATCTGATACTAGGGAGATAGACAGATATAGTCCACTCACTAGTTTACTTTCCAGATGGCCACAACAGACATGTCTGAGTCAGGCCAAGGCCAGGAGGCTCTGTCCTCGACCTTCCCATGGTGGCAGGGAAGCAATAACTTAGTCATCTTCCCAGGTGTGTTACTGGAAAGCGGGACCAGAAATGCAGCATTCAGAACTTGAGCCAGCACTCCAATGTGGGATGCCAGTATTACAAAAGTGACTTAACCACTGTGCCACAATGTTCTACTGACTCAAGAATACTGTTACAAATATTATCACTGTGCAATTCCAATGAGTCCTTACATACTGGACTATTCTCTTTGGCATTAGGAAATACTTCATAAATACCCCTCCATTTTAACTCTCTCTTCCTCACAGCCAGGCTATTGGACTAGTCTATATTCATTATTCATTTTCATGCACCTTCCTTAACTAGGTATAATCTAACTTTTGCCCAAATTATTCCAATAAAATGGCTTTCATTTGGGTGAATAACCTCCAAGTAAATAACATACACAAGTATCTTATAGTTCATTTGGTCAATCTCTCTATAGCATTTTAAAAGTTCATTATTTTGCTTTCCTCCATCACAAAGGATCTTGGCTTTTGTGACTCCACTTTTTCTTAGACCTCTGCCTATATTTTGGGTTTCCTCTTCAATTCTTCTGGGGTCTCACTGAATCTTGACTGTACCTATGCACTTAGCAGGTGATTCATTCAAACTGTGCTTCAACTGCCAACCTAAGGTTGATAACACAAACTTAGATTTTAACCAGTTGTCACCCTTGAACTTAAAAGTGCTTAGCAACATCAGATTTATGAATCAAGTATGAAGAATACATATTATTTATTTGAAGGCAACATTCAAGCTGTGTTGTTAAAGAGATTTTGATGGAGGACATGGGCAATTTTAGGATGTTTGGCTGGAATATTAATAAGGAACATAGAATTGAAGAGTGGGGAGCCAAAATAAATCAGTTTAAATAAGAAATGGAAATGTACTTAACTTGGACATATACAAACTGACAGTATCACAGTGATATTGCATATTTCCCAGGAGGTTTTTTGCACACCTTTGCATACTATTATAGACCTTCGTATAGTAAGCACAGCAATGTTTCAGTCAATAATGGACTCCATGTATGATGGTGGTGCCATAGTATAATTTAACCTAGATGCATGGTAGACTGTACTACCCAGGTTTGTGTAAGTACACTCAATGATGTTCACAAATGAAATTGTACTTCTCAGAATGTATCTCCACCATTAAGCAATGCAAAGCTGGTGCGCACACACACACCCACCCACCCACCCACACACCCCCCCCCCCACACACACAAAAAGGAGGGAAAGAGAGAGAAATAGTAGAAGAGGGAGGGTGGGTTATGGAGTGAAAAAAAACTCAAAACTGTTTCAGGCCTATTCACATAATGAGAAATTACATTTGTAGTAATAACTGGGCTCAAAAGTTCTTTAATTTGCTAAAGTTCTTTAAAATGTTATAAATTAAAAAGCTAATCTCTGCCCTTAAAGAATGTATAAGAAATTCAGGAGTTAGTGTTTCTTCCATAAACAAGATTTTTAAGCAAATAATACATTTCCTACATGGTATATAGCACTATAATCTGTAAGTTTAAAAAGTATAGAAATGCAAAATTCATAAAAAACACCGTAAATCCTTACTAAGCAATTTTTAGCATTTGTCCCTAGAATATACCACAATCATGCTGCATCATTTAACAAAAAGAAAATTTGTTCTGATGTGAGTCTAACAATGCCAATATTTTGATTACAGGTATGGTAAAGCATTATAGAGGAGTTTTTCTCTTTTTTAGCACTCTGACCTAAGAAGTAAATGTCTAAAAGAGCTGAACATAATTTCCAAAGAAAAATGTTAATTAATTTTATTATAAATTCCATTCATGGTGAGAATTATATAAATGTTTTCATTTGGGGACAATTTTACACTTATTTAAACCAAAACATGTCTCTGTCAGCCACTAGAATTGATAGAAAAAATATAGACGCCATGGGCCTATTTTATTAATTTATATTCAGTACTTAAAACAGGAGATCCCCAGGTTCTCAGAAGACATACTTACCACAATTTGGTCTTCAGATGCCGGGGAGACACTGCTGTCATCAAAATAGTACCATTTCCCATCATCTTTATTTTTTGCAAAAGCAGTATCTAATGAAAAAAATACAACCACTTCTGTGACTAAGATGATTTATGGTTTTCTGAGGAACCCTCAAAACCATAGTTATCTATATCAGGAATATGTGCTAATATTATGTGGTAATAATTAACATATAAAATCTGGTTCATATACATTTGAATGATTCTATTAATGAAAAGTTTTCAAAAATAACTTCCTACTATCTAGGTGTAGTTTTATGTAAGCTAAAGCTGTTTCCAACCAAGAGTAAAATAGAATGGATTTAGTTTTTAGCTCACAGAGTAACAACACTAGATACAATAAGTTACAAATATTAACATTACATAGTATTTGTCCTGTACTAGGCACAGGGCTTACTAAGCACTTTATACATAGGAGGGCATTTCAAACAATTTGTGGAGAAAGGAAGATATGTTTTGGTGAAAACAATTCTTCTTACATAATCATAAAGCGTGTTACCTATTTTCCATCATTTGGTATATTTCATTGCAAAAAAGTGCAGCACTGCCACTGCAATATTTAGCTCACAATGGCTTGCTGTTTGAGTGGGCCTACAAATGAAATCGTTTCCTTAGAAAGTTATGTGAAAACATACTCAGACAAACCCACGTTTGCAGCTCTAGACCAAGAAAGGCACCATCTACAGAAGTTTAGAAAAACAAATGTGGCAATAAATTCTAATTCAATATAACTTTGACTTGGTTTGTGCTGTAAACTTTCAATCTGCATCAGAACTAAGGGAGAGATGTGTCAAGCGTACTCTGTAGTTATCACATATCAGCTGTGATGCCAAAGGGAAGGTATCAACAGGAAGGAATGTTTCTGAAAACACTATTTAAGATACATATGTGAAATGACCGAATATTTGTACTTTATGAGGGGAAAAGTTATACACAATTTTCCCCATATATGTCGTATAGCCATAATATGCTTTTTTCCCCCTAAAATGAACATGAAAATGGCATTTTGGCATCTTCTGGTATAAGTGTTGCTTTGAGGAATGCAAAGATGGTTCAACAGAAAATTCAACAGCAGAGTATACAGTTAAGCTCAATATCAGTGCTGAAGTAAGAGATGACAGAGTAGGCGCAAACTGTGAGCAGTGAGAAGGATGCAGAGTAACCGGGAGAAAAGCATCTAGTGAGATCTGCAAAGCAGTATCAACTATGTAAAAAAAAAGATACATTATGATTCACAAGAGCGCATACATCAAACATGTTAAGGAAGAGAAGAATGGGAACGAGGAGGCACCAACAGATCAACAGTTTCCTTCCTATGCTCTGATCTGTAATTAACTCAATCCTTTACATCTGACGGATGGAAAAGCTGCGCAGGGAGTTCATTCATATTGAGCGACTACTATGTAGAAGATGTTATCTGATGCTTTCTTTCCAGAAGTAGTGAAAATCTCAAGGAAAGATGGCTAAATTATGCAGAGATCAAAATTTAGTATAAAAGGCAAACTGTCAACTTACAATGACCTCCTCCCATTCCTCCATAGTGGTTGGAGACTGCAATCAAATTATAGCGGCAAGGACCTGCATTTGGATTAATCAGGAATTCCGACATATCCAGGTCACTGTTTAAAAAAGAAATGCAGTTGGTTACATGCTTTCCCTAAAATGTTATGGATGCTATCTCATGCCAGTATTCTTAACCCAGTTAAATGTACACTTTACTACAGATATGACAGAGAATCAAAAACCTCTTATATAAAAAATCATATATACATATATATAGAGACATTACTGAGTGATATTATTTAATGTTTTCATGTTAATACATTTAATTCTCGGTATACTAGTCATCAGCTTTACCATTTGGGTCTAATGGATACTTTTAACCAATTTAAAAAAATGATTTATATAAGAAAAATAGTGAAAAACAAATTTCTTAGAAATTCTAAAAAATACTGTAATCCCAATTTTTAATCCTAATTTTCCAGATATTGATGACATATGCTTGAAATAGGCAATATATTTTGAATGTAAGTGACTGTTCAAATCTGTATGCATGAACCTGGAACATGACTAAATATAAAAGGCAATAATGATTCTAAATTTCAAATGAATCCCTAACAGGTTTTTGTTTTACTTTTTATTCTTTCTCCCAACTACATCGTCAAAAATGCTACAATCTTAAAACATCTCATGGCTCACAATAAATTTGTTAAAGAAGAAAATGACCCTTCTTTTGCTCAAATAATTGTAAAACAGTTTCAGCTTGTAATTAGTATAATAAGTCACCTAACAAGTGGTTGAATTATATATTCTTTGCTTCCAGTAATTCTAAATACACCTGCCTTCAGCATTTGTTCACTCACTACTCACACCAAGGAAATTCTAGTGTACAAATACAAAATCTGGAAGAATACTGCTGGATTTGAAAAAAATTTTTTTTGGCTGTTGTTGTTTTTAAATGGGATTGTACCAGTTTCTTACTGCAAAAATACAGTGAAAAAATGAGGCATTTCCCATCAAATGAGTAAGTGAATGGGAAGCCAAGCTTCCTTTTTGTCTTTCTGAATTTGTAATGTATTTGGGACAAGTTTTTAAAGGAGGATTAAAACGCTGTTGTCTCCAGACTTATGTCATTCAATGCCAAAAGAAAACTGAAGGATATTGATATATAGGACTGATTTAATGGTGTCTTCTTGGTAAACAAGTTAATTATTCTGTTATACTATTTCATTATCTCTTTTAAATACTATTTTTAGGAATAGCTGATAATTATAAAACAATTCCAAGGAAAAATAAAATCTTTAATTCTCATTAAATATTGTAGATTTATGATTGGTGAGTCTACAAGGCAATGTAACACAGAGTGTTAAAAGTACAACTGCAGATTGTTAATAGAAGTGCAAATTTTTTTTTTCAGTCTTTGGAAAGTCTCTAAGAGACACCAGTTCTTACTAATTGTGGGAACTGCCAAAAGCTCAAATGGAATACAATGGTGCCTAACGTTTACCAAAGGATAACAATAAAAATTATTGTATAATTTTGAAAAAACAGTTGCCCATCATTTATGAAGCAGAATAAAAACTTACTTGATAGGAAAATCAACTAATGTATCCAATTTATCTCTCATGTATCGACTGTAAGAAAATCGCTTGAGATGTACTACAAGTACTGGAGGCAGGGACCATAAATCTAATTTCTTTGTCGCTTGCTGATGTTCTTTACAATTTGGGCAATACCTATAAATGAAAAGAAATATTTAAAGTTTTATAGAGTTACAGTAAACAATGTTTCTTAATGAAAACAAAAGATGAGAAAAAAATGTATATGTATGTTTTTGGTGAGCAGTTAACATATGTCAAGTAGGTATTAGACTAAAAGTAACTTAATATTCTTATCATCAACATACTTTCCAAATAGGCCTAAATGAGGGCTAGACTACTTACATTTTAGTATGCTAAAAGATATGCATGCATTACAAATCTGTGCTGAAGCATGTACATACACACACACACAGACTCCTAATTTATACACTAGAACATTTTAATAAAATTGATGGGTTAAACAAAATAATATAAAAAAATGCAAGGGTAATTTAAAAAGTCATGGAAAATGGAATTAAAAGTTTATTTTGGTGCCTTTCTCCTCAATCTTGAAATCTAGGCATAATATTATTTTCATACTATATTTTCTATGAACTTTTTGAAATATGAGGGCACAGGATAATTTTCCTAAAAATTTTTTCAAAATGGTTACAAGTCTAAAAATTCTTGTAAGCAGCCAAAACTAATTACTAATAGTAAAATGGCTGTTATGGAAGACATAATAATGAGTTTTAAAGTTTAACAATGCTTGCTGCGTCCAAAGGTGTTCCTGATAGGAACAGATACCACACTTGATCTTAGCCAAAAGACTGAGAAGCTTAAAGGCATTGCTATCCTTCTTTATTCTAAATTATTATAAAGAAAGAAAAGCTTCTACTTTAAAATATAAAAGAAATAGAAAAAATATTTAACTTTGTCTCTTACCAGGGATCTTCAGCACCTAGTTTTTCTTTTGTTGTAAAAAGCTCAATGCAATCTTTTAATTTCACAAAGGGTTTTTTAGGAGGTTTATATTCCACACTTTCATGTTTTTCGAAATCCTAAAGAGAAGTATTTCTTGAGTTAAGAGAACAAATGAAACAAAACTCATTTTAGTGATACCATCTTACTAAAATTATAATGAAAACTCCTAAACTTTCTCAAAACAACTGTAACTCTTACTTCAACAATGATTTATAATAGATAATTCCTGTGTATAAACAACTGAATGACTAAGTCAACAGAAGGCACGGTAGGAAGGCATGCTCAAAACCAATTCTGCATTACTTTTTTAAAAAAGGTCTTTTTGCAAAATCTTTTCTATTTCATAATTTTTTACTAGTAAAATAAACACAATTGGTAGAACAAATGAATGTTACAAAACATTACGATTAGTTATAGTGATCAAAATAAAATAGGTAAGAAGAGCTGAGTGGGTGAAGGCTTACCTCAGCAGCATTTTCATCAAAATATCTTTTTTTCAATTCAGGATCCCAATCCAAAGCAAGAAAAGATCTTTCTAAGGTGAAAAAATATTTTTTCTTTAAACTTAATATGCAGCAGTGTTAAAATTAGCATATTTTAATGTTAGGACATATGCCACAGTAAATAACAGCAGTCTTTCTTACTAGTACTGGATAATTAAGACAAATATAGGTTTGCAAACCACTGAAATACTTCAACTTAAAAAAGCATAAACAAAACATAAGCTAATAAAGTTAATAAAACATTAGGCATGAGTTTAATTTTCACTTAACACAGACAGGTATTTTACTTAGACACAGCGGCCTTTCATTTAACATTTTAGATAACGGCATTTTTAAATGACTGGGTTGAATTGTAGCTTTTCATTAAAAAAAATAAAAGCTAGCAATCTGTTTTCACAAATACTTACCATCTAGCCTAAGCTGTCTGTCATCGAATCGTATATGCCTGGTATCGTCCTTGATGTAGTTGATATCAGTGTTGCCTAAGTTGTTGAACTGGAATGTAAACAATCGCCTTTTGTGTCCCGTGAGTTGCCCTTTGCAGGTATCCTCGGTACATAATCCATTTTCAGAATCATTATCTCCTCCAACTGAATCTTCGGACTGACTGTTTTCATTCTCAGAAGGAAGTTCTTGATCCTGGCTGGACTCATCATCTGGCTCATCTGTTTCCATTTCACCTAGTTTTAGACATTAGAAATTTTAAACCAAGCCTAACGCATAAACTGTTTACATTTCTTAGTGTGCAAATGCTTTTAAGTTCATTCATCGTCAACTTCTAAGTTTCTCTCTAAGGTAATAAGCTAAGTGAACATTTTTTATAATTTAACAGGAAGGTCTTACTTGGTGAGCCTTCCTCGTGTATGCCATTGGGGCCATTGCCATTTATATTTTGGTCCTTACAGCAGTGTAGGGATCCTTCAGTTTCTTCAGTTTCGGTAGATATTTTGACATATCGGCTTAAATAAAATTAGAAACCAAACAAGATCAGTTCTATAAAGGTAAAGCAATAAACACAGAGTTTCCTATTCCATCAACAAAAGAAAACTTTAATGCAGTTATATTCAAGAATCAGAGAACAAATTTAAACTCACATTACAAATATAACTGAGCAATAAAATGTTTTGCTGTCATTACCAGAAAGTCTGTGGCAAGTAATTTTTCAACTTGAAAATGTACAAAGAGTCTTATTTAGTCTACAACATATTAGTACTAACAATATTATATTTATACATTATGACCTTTACACATAGGACATGGAACTACAATAATTAAATACCAGAAATGACAAATACATTAGTTATTAAGAGTAAAAGAAAGGGATCAAATGATATTCTTGCTTAGGTTATAATTCAAATCAAGGCTTATAATTATACAAAAATTAGGGTGCCTTATAGTATTGCCAATCAATATGTGTTCTTAAGTTTATTTAAAAAAATGAAGTAAATGCGTCAAAGTTTATACTTTCTTCCAAATGTAGACTTCTGGTGTGAAACACCTAAAAAGCTTCATGTTTCCTGGGTTTGAAATTACTTAAGTGCTGTATTTTACTAACTAGGACAGTGGATTTAAAACTGCTACCTGTTTAAAAAAATTGAAATAAGGCAAACATGTCTAATTATATTCTGATCACACCCTATTTATGACTTTAGACTTACTTTACACTTACCACATTCTCAAAAGCAAGAGATTATAGAGTTTATCTTCAGTATTGCTTCGTGGTACGGCCATGAGGAAAGGCTGGCCAAAAAGTGAAGAACCAGTATGGTGGGTATAGCTTGAGTGTCTAAATTTTTCTCTTAGGCAAACAGGAATAATCACATGTTCTGTATCTTCTGTTCTATTGATATTGATTTCAAACCTAAAAGAACAAAATTGACCATAAACTTTCAAGTTTTGTTACCTCTTTTGCTTTTGTTCTTAAGTAATAATTTGTACAACAAATTTTATACTTACACATAAATATCATCCCGTTCCATAATACTACTAAGGTTTTCATCCATAGCAAATATTCTGTGAAATCTATGATTGTATATATCAGTAACTATCATCTAGAAGGAAACAAATTTCTATTAAGCTGGTTTTGTAACACTGAAAACTAAATATCACTTTACGTAATTTAACCCCAGGAATACCTTACCTTATCTGCAGATACTCCTGACAAAGCAGATAATGCTGTACAAAGATCTAGTATGTTTCCTATTTTGGGGACAATCACTTTGTACTGAAAAACAGAAAATTACAATAACCTTATTACTTTGGAAAAAATATTCTTTAGATTAGAGAATTACACATTCTTATTTATTGGCTTATAGTGAGATATACAATCCTTTAAAATATTAATTTGACCATCAGAGAGAAAGGGAGAAAGGAAGAGGGAGGGAGAGAGAGAGACAGAGAGAAACAGACACACACAGAGATCCTTCATCCACTGGTTCACTTTCCAAATGGATACAACATTTGGGACTGGGCCAGGGTCCACAAATGTGGGCCATCCGACTGCTTTCCTAGAAGCATCATTAGGAAGCTGATCACAGCAGGACAGTTGAGACATGAACCAGTACTCCAAGATGCTGGTGTCACCGGTGGCGATTTAACATGCCATGCCATGATGCTCACAATTTCGTTTTAACTCTCAATTTTTCTAAGTTTGGCTGTTGCCCTTCATAACTTTCCTTTCAGAACCCATATGCTCCATCACATCAAATACTCCATTGCAAACCCTTAAATGTTGGTTACTCAGTTCTACTCTAGATGAGCTCTCTTTGAGCTATTCAGACACACTAAGACACAATGTTTTAAGTTTCAAGAGTATTCAATCTTCACTGCTTTTTTAACATTACTCAAATAATTCTGTATCTCACTTACTTCCTTATTCTTTTTTATTTCCCAATAACTATTTTAAGTCAACACCACTCTGTAAATTTCCTATTTCAGTATTTCTCCCTTTATCATCATTAGAATTCATACAGTACCCCCCCTCCAAAAAATGCTACTAGGAGGCTAGCATCCCCCAGCAAATTTAAAGAAAATCCATGCAGATTCCTTTTTTTCCTGTGACTTGCAGCACATAAAGACACGTCTCTCTCTTCCCACTCAAGGTTTACTTTAATATCTATGTTCTGATTGTCACACTTTTCTGCCTTTCCTGGGAACTACATCAAGTACTTATCATATATCCATTGCACCGTCACATATAATCCCTAATAATGTCCTTCTCTTCTCTGCTTTGTTGATACTATCTTTACTATTCTAGCTTCCTTAGCATTTGCTCAGCTCTGTTTATTTCCTGGCATTCTCTTCAGCTATTTATCAGGATGCCAATGCTATTACCCAACTTAAATTTTATCAGTCCTTATTTTATTGACTTCTCTGAGCACGTTAAATTTCTTTCCCCCTATGGCACTATCACTTCTAAGTTCTTTTATATTGCTGTGATTATACTTTATTCTTGAAACTCTTCTGTAGCCGGAACTTTATTCTTAGTGCTCCGCTCAATTCCAAACAGACTAGGTGACAATATATACTAATTTTCCATGGCTATTCCTGGATTAATCTGTTCTAGCATAATTATTAATAACAACTCCTTTCATTTCCAAGAGTTTTGGTTCAGGGGTAGAGCCCCATCCATTCTCTAAGTACCATTTTGATATTAACATTCATTGCGCCATAGAAAATTAGCAACTTAAAAATTAGCCTTAATAGGGGTCAGCACAATGGCGCAGTGAGCTAACCCTCTGCCTGCAGTGCTGGTATCCATGTGGGCACCAGTTTGTATCCTAGCTGCTCCACATCTGCTCCATCTCCCTGCTCATGGCTTGGGAAAGCAGTGGAGGATGGCTGAAGTTCTTGGCCCCCTGTATCCTCATAGGAGACTCAGAAGAGGCTCCTGACTTAGCTTCCACTGTTGAAGCCATTGCGGGAGAGAACAGATCAAAAATCTCTCTTTTCTTCTTTCTCCGTTAAATCTACCTTTCAAATAAAAATTAAAATAAATCTTAAAAAAAATAGCCTACTGCAGATTTACTGAATTTTGAGTCCTCCTTGTAGTTGTACTGATAGAATCAGACCTTATGATTTTGTAAGCCTGAGTTGGCCTGTGCACTGCACAGCCCCTTCCTTGATCTTAAGGGTCTAACTTCAGAAATGCGAATACAAATTCTTCTGGATAAAAGTAAAAGAAGATTTTTAGCAGCCATACTAGCAAAAAGGGGAAAATTACCCAATTAAAACCAGATCCAAATGTATCTGATTTGGTATGTTCCTGAAAGTAACATAAAGCAGCAGCAAAATAATTGGTTGAAATTTGAGTACATGACTAATGTTTATCAGATTTAATTACTTTGTATAAAAGGTTTTTTTTTTTTTAAAAAAAACTATATATATATATTTCTTCTGACCTTACTGTTAATAAACCCAAATACGTTCCTAAACCAACAGTAACACAACAATTTTGTGGAAAGCAACTCTTGCACATTTTATGACTATTATGCATTAACTAAATTGATTTTTGGAATAATCAAGATTCATAGAAAACAAACTTCTAAGCAGGAATTATCCCTGCCTTATTTAATGAACACAGTATTCGTCTTTTACTTTATTGTCTCCCCTACTTCCCAATTCGAAGGGCAGAGTTACAGAGACAGAAGGAGAGACAACACAGATCTTCTATCTGCGGGGTCCCTCCACAAATGGCCACGAGCCTGGAGCTTCCTCCAGGTCTCCTCTGCACATGTAGAGGGGCTCCAACATTCGGGTCATCCTCCGGTGCTCTCCTAGACCAACAGCAGGGAGCTAGACAGGAAGTGAAACAGCCGTGTCTAGAATTAGCACCATTTGGGATGCTGGTGTCACAGGCATTGGCCCCCAATATCTTTATATTCAGCAGCTATCCAAAAATATTGAGTGAATCAAATCTTTGACTACATTAATACATGTAATTTAAAAGGTTGCAAAAGATTTAAAAGGTCTCAATCTTAAAAACAAAACAAAACAAAAACGACAACAACAACAAACCTCACAAAAACCAATGAGTCTAGGGGAGAAAAAAAATATAAGTAAGCCAAAGCCCTTAATAACCAATTATTTTACATCTGCCTAAATTTCTACTTGACTCTAACCCTTTAAAAGGCATAAAAATGATAAGTGTTTAAATATGCGACTAAAACATCATGAATTTAAATGTATAATATTAGCTTTACTTCCAACAGCCATCATGAAAAAAATTAACATATAAAGAGGTCTGTTAACTCTCCCTGAGTCTAAAGAATTATACCCATTTCCAAGTATTTGGTTTATAAAATCTTACACTAATACAATCACTGAATTGTACTTAAGGATATAATATTTTTATAAAAATTTAATGATCAATTTTGTCATAAAAATAAAAAATGAAAAGAAAGTAATCATTACTTACCTGCATAGGTTTGGTAAGTGGATCCATTCTAACTAAATAAACTTCTAAAGTACGTTCTTTTTTCATGGGCAGTGGAAGTGTTAAATAACAAAAAGGATCAAATGTTACAGAAATCTTAGCACACTCAGGACAAACTAAAGTTGATTTGAAAAGGCCATGAAATATGTCTACTATGATTGAATCATTTCTTTTTAAATGGTTTTCCCAGGCTTCTTCGGCAACCACCTATACAGAAAGCAGACATAAATTACAAAGTGGTTCCACAGAATTAAAATAATAAGTGACAAAAATATTGTAAAATTTACCTTATCTGGCCTTCCATCAGCATCTTTTAATTGTATATAAGGTTTTTTCCTGATTCTATTCAAATCTTCATGTAGTCCATCTAATAGGAAAGCTAGCAGTTCCTGACAGTCCTGCTGTTGATATCCAGAGAACTGAGGTGCAAAACGTCCTACCTGTGTCTAAGGAAACAAAACTACAATTAGGGACGCATAGATCAATCTTTAAAAAACTACACAACTGGTCCTCATCATTCATGCGGTCTACATACCGGATTTCCTGATTTATTAAAACTTAGCTGTAACCCCCAAATCAACTTGTGACAGCTTGTGGTCTTTTTTGAACATGCTTAAATGAGGGGTCAAAAGATCTGATTTTCCACCTTGTAGTTTCAGATTTATAACACAAACAAATGTTCTTTTATAGCATATTCAGTACTATACTATTCACATTTTTATGTATTTTGTTGCTGCTGTTGGTGATTTTGGTATTTGACATGATTCCCAAAAAGGGTACTGACATGTTAACTAGGATTCATAAACACAAATGTGCCTTATGGAGAAGCTATGTTAGATAAGCTTTGTTAAGGTATGATTTGTAGTGCTAATGGCTATGAATTCACTGTGAAGGGACAAACACTGTATGTAAAGAATACAACAAAATTTTAAAATTAAATGTCTTTAAATAGGAACACAAGACAAATTATGTACTGAATGATTGATGAAAACATTTTGAGTAGGGATTTGGGGGCAATCAAACCCGCTACTTTCCCTGGGAACACTAATTGCACATACAAATATGAATCCAGAAAATTTGTTTTTTGCATTCCTAGTAAACACTGAGTGACAAAACAGATCAACAATCAAATTCTCAAAAAAAGCATTAATGATTGTTTAGTCTTAGATTTCTTTGTCATTAGTTTTTGTTATACTATTTTTTCCAAGTATTTTCTTTGTGTTTTTACTCTTTACCTCTACATGTTCCTATTGACTGCACCTGTAAACATCTAATAAGCATTTATAGTTCTTACCCTTGTCATAGTATCACAAATATAATTCTGTATCTAAATACATCATCGAAGCGTTCAACAAAATGAAAAAAATACAAAAGGTGACTTGCAAAAAGAGCAAGCAGAAATTATGGCAAACTTGTGTACCAAAGAGTTAATACCAAAAACGTGTGTACCAGATACTCATCGCTATCTCTCACAGGTGAATTTTCCACCATACCAGTCTTTCTCATTCTTTCTTTCACCATAGTCTCCCATGACTCATGTCTTGACTCTATTTTTGTTCTTAAACTAGCTACCTAACCTATTCACAGGCCCTGAAATATAATACCACTGTATTCTTTTGGAAGCTAACAGCTACTATCCTTCCAGCCCCTCTCTGATCAAACAATTTTCATTTCCAGGGAGATGATATAACTCTTGCTGGGACAATAATTTCAACACTAACCTTAAAGGCTCTTGGGGTGACGTAGCTAAACTTTCCAGACCACATTTGCTTGATCAGTTCAGCATAAGATTTGGCTATTTCACCTCTCATTCCCAGGGGATTGTCAAAATTCAATTCTTCTTGATACTTATCGTTGAGGAAATATTCTGTAAGAGGAGGGGTGTTGCTCAAACACTGCAAAAAAATAAAAGGTATTTTAAGTAAAAGTAATTATCCATTTAATTTTCCCTAAACCATGTTAAAATGAATAAGAAAATAAACTGATTTGCAATGTGCTGTAATGTACAGAGAAAAATTTAAGTGATTTTTTTGAAAAGGTAACTGGTCAAATATGCAACTGCTGCACTAAACTATTCATTTCCCAAATGTCAAGTAATTATAGTAAATGCAAACATGAATAGTTGTTGCTGTAAAATTTGCATTAACTTTAATCAGAGCACACTACCTGCAAAATGGGGAAAGAAGTTCAGAGTTTTCATTCACTCTTTTAATTCAGTGGTACAAACTAAGGATTGCATATTCACTCTAAGGACCAGAAAATTAGCCATTGGTACTCTGCACCCATGTGGGAGACCCCGAGGAAGCTCTGTGCTCTCAGCTTTGGATCAGCTCAGTTCTGAACCAGCAGGTGGAAGAACTTCTCTTTTTCTCCTTCTCTCTCTGTAAAATCTGCTTTTCAAAGTGAAAATAAGTATTCCTCGGTAGCCTTATCTTTTGCTAACCTTTTTTGCGCTCTATGTCTGGCCTTGTTTGATTACTCATAGGTCCTTGAAATCTGCACATTCTCTCTGATTTTGCAACATTACTGTGGATATTTGAAAATGTACCATTTTTGCCTTAACAATTTCCATCAACCCATTAAGATTCAGGTATCCTGACGAGAAAGCTTCTCTGGCTGCCTCTATAGGATTTCCTCTGTATGTTTCTATAATGCTTAGTGTTCACTTTTATGATGCACTTAATTTATGATGTACTATAACTCTGCTTTCCAATTAATTACAACTCAGATTTAACAAGCTACACACACCAAAAAAGGGACAGTTTTGATAACTGCTTATACTACACATGAAACTATCATAACCAATATTTAAATCTAACCAATTTAGTTTCAACTTGGGCTAAAACAGCATTCTATTTTATGTTGAACATGTTTCAAGAAGCTCAGAAGCTACATTTCTCTAGTAAATTCTACAATGCATATATGAATAGATAATTTCAATAGTAACTATCAATACTACTACACAAATTATGATGGTTTAAGAACTAAGAGACCCGGCGAGGTGGTCTAGTGGCTGAAGTCCTTGCCTTGAATGTATATGCCAGTATACCATATGGGTGCCGGTTCTAATTCCGGCAGCCCTGCTTCCCATTCAGCTCCCTGCTTGTGGCCTGGGAAAGCAGTCGAGGACGACTCAAAGCTTTGGGACCCTGCACCCATGTGGGAGACCCGGAGGAAGCTCCTGGCTTCGGAATGGCTCAGCTCCAGCCATTGTGGCTGCTTGTGCTTGCTTCCTCTCTGTCTCTCCTCTTTATCCTATCTGTATATCTGCCTTCCCCATAAAAATAAATAAATCTTAAAAAAAAAAAAAAACAAACAAAGTTGAGGTGGGCATTTAGCTTAGTGCCTAAGAAGACCATATTCCCTATCGGAATACCCATGTTTGACACCCAGCTCCGGCTTCCAGATAGTGTGAACCTTAGCTGACACTGATGATGGCCCAAGTAACTTGAATAATCACATTTCTGGATTGAATTTTCAATTTCTCGGCTTCAACTTGGCCCAGCTCTGGCCACTGTGTGTATTTGACAGGTAAACCAATGGATGGGAGTTCTCATTTTGTCCTTCAAAAAATAAACAAACAAACACACCCACCCTACTAAGGTCATTCAGATTTTTCTTCATTTTGAAAGAAGAAGAAAGTATGTTCTTAAGGACCAAATAAATATGAAAAGTTTTCATGACTTTAGGTCAAAATTTAAAAGCATTAATTGCAGTAAAAATATTCACACAAAATATAGTAACATGAAACTGCTTCTATGTCCTCTATTAAATTATTAAGGTTCAACTGCATAATACCCACAAATGCCCAAATCTGTGTTGAGGAGAATCAAATCTTATAATTCGTCACTAAGAAAATGGGGTCCAAATATAAAGCAGCGTGAGTGATGATAAAACATATATCTCTTAAGCCAGTTATTTTATCATTGTGCCTACAGTTGGTCCTAAAGCTGGGCTGCATGTTACCAGTATCATGTTAAAAACAAAGCAATAAGCAAACTAAAGGAAATGACTCTGTTTCACTGGTTCTAACTCTAATGGCAAAATAGAAATGAAAAATTGTGCTAATGAACAAGTAAATGCACTTGTTAACTAAAAACTTTTATATGTGAATATTTCAATGACCCCTAAACATACTAACAGTAAAATCAGTTAAGAACTCTTGAAGATTTAGAACTCTTGAAGATTTAAGGACTTAAAACCGAAATACACTCTTATTATATGATAGACTTATGTCAATCATTAATTTAGATTTCATCATTGAATGACTGGGTGGATTTATCAGGATATAAGCTACCCAAGAGTTTTTGATCCACTAGGAATGTTAACAACACCTGATGTACACAAAAGCCAGCTATTTGATAAGAATTGACTTTTCAGTATCTGTTTCTTAAAGTGGCTTTGTGCTTCTCTACTTGTGCCTGAATATGTAATTTTATATATGAAAGTATAACACTGTATGTTACACTGAACAAAGGTATGTAGGTTGGATGAATGAAAATTCATATGGTATGAGCACCTGGAGCAGCAGGAAATGGAGATCTGAACTGTCCATTTTACAATACTAACTTATCCAGAATTTCTACAAGTACAAATAATGCCTGAAGAGGTTATCCTAATGAGCGAAAAGGACTACTGTGAAGGGCCAACAATTAACAAGATAAATGTACATAATTAAAATTCATGTAAAGGAAATATTTTATGAAAGATTTTTCCCCTAAATTTTCAATCTTGAAGAAGACATAAAAAATTTTACAGGGAATAGTTCTAAATAAATCAGATGTCCCAACAAATGGGTATTCTGCTACATAGTTCAATGCATGCAATTTATATGTAGTACAAATCCTGAAGAATTATTTCAATAAGAAATGTGTAACTCAAGTATTTTATAAATTATTAATTTTCTAGAAAAAAAATCTCTAGTCATAAATGTCCTTATATAACTGGAAATTAGGCAACTGGAATCTTATATGAGACAGATCATGAATTTTATATAATTTTCACTATTGGTAGGATGGGACTGCCTGGCACACTTTTATTTATACACACAGGCATAAATCCTATTGGTCCTATATTACTTTTAAGATGTTCTTCCACTATGTTCTGATCAATGAAACTGATATTTCTGGGGTTCTCTGAAAAAATACAAATGACAAATGAAAAGAATCTCAATTTTGTACTCTAAGTACAACTTGCAAAAAAAATGGAGTCAAATTTCTACACATAACAAAATCTCAAGTGTGTATTCAATTTATTTCAGGAAATGAATATGTAATAGCCATACCATAACTTGTAATGAATCTGGAATTTCCCCAGTACCTGGAAAATAGTCAAAGTAATCCCCTTCAAAAAGAGTAAGTTGTCTTTTGTAATGCTGAATATGAACCACTCCCTTTCTGTTGAGGTGCTCCAGAATCCCAATTCTCAAGTGCTCATGTATGCTCACTAGTTTAGTAAACCGGTAACTAGAACAGGAAAGAAAACAAACTTAAATTTTTGATTACCTAAAGCTTTTGAGTTGTGTAGCTCATTCTGTAAACTGATGAAAATGTAATGCCACTCAAAACTCTTACAATAGTCACATCTTCAAACTGCCCATTACTAAATACAAAACCCAATCTAAAAATTATAGATTCTTATTTTAAAGCCTAACGTAGTCCAGTTAATGTCAATGTAGCGTACTCTAAGGTGGATAAAGAATTTTCATATATGCCACATGAATTGTTTTCCAGTTTGTAATGACAACAGCACAAACATTCGGAAATTATAATTCCAAAGCATTCTAATTGTACGATTGGTCTCAAGTTCTGTAATCAGACAGTAAATTACAAAGGATAAGTCTGATGTAATCTTTTATCATCAATTATTACAAATGTGTCTCAGTATTAAGTAGGTATTAAAAATGAGATACTTTCTGGGCTCAGCGTGATGGCGTAGGCTAAAACTGAGATACTTCATATTTTTGTTACAGCTTTCTTTTCCCCTAAGATTCATTAGATTTCGGAGATCAACTCCAAAGAATTCCAATTGTCCAAGTGAATACTAGTATAGCTGTATTTGGCTTCAAATTTCCATTCTTTCCACAAGATATTTAAAAAGAAAAAACGTATGCAAGTAAAATATGAATGGATATAACCTTACTGTTTTTTTTTTTAAACTTCCATTTTGCCTTGGATCCTTGCCTCCCCACCTCCCATCTGGTAGTCGGGGAAGAATCTGTACACTCCACGTAAAATGCTGATATTTTACATAAAGTACATGTGGTTTTAAGACAAAATTTTTGAATTGAGCTAAGGTATTTCTAACAATTTTATTATATATCATAAACTGACCTCTGTGCTTCAGACATGAATGAAATTAAACTGCACTTAAAATTTCCATTGTTTCCCCTTCCTTCAAATTTTATGGTATTTCTTCTTCAAAGAAGAACTTTTATATAGATTCTTACAACTATAGGAACCAATGGAAACTAACACATGGGCTACTAACATCAATCCTTCACCCCCCGTGCCATCTACAGGACTGAGGAAGAGTAAGTCTCAATTTGTCAAAAAGACTACTACTCTGTCACTTGTGGTAAGAAATACTGTAACTAAAGAATTCATGGCTATGTTAATGCCACTCATTTTCATACTGAAAAATACCTATTTATGTAAAAATAAATTTGAAAGTCTCTTTGATAGTGATTTTATATCACCACTGAAGCCATAAACTTCAGGTAAGGCATGTTTAGATGAGGTCTTAGAACCAAATGGTTCTAATAACATTAAGAAACAATATTCAGTGATATGTTAAAGAACTGTAGTCTATGCATTTTAATTTTGATGTTAAGCATATCTTATACTGCATGAATAATTTAAAAATGCATTATTGAACCCAGCAGGGTAGGTTAGTG